AATGAGCTGGGGGGGCACTCTTTAAATGGATCTGTGAAATTTTCTTTCTTTAAACAAACAAAAAAAGTTATGAAGCAAATATGTAATAAACTATTAAGTTCTGGGTGATCCTTGCTTTTCAGGAGTTCTGAAATATTTCACAATTTAAAAATTTAAAATATATTTTTAAAAATCCTATACCTATGTCTCACTGAATTTTCCTTAAAGTGTGCCTCCTCTGAATAAAATATAGTTATGAGATACCTGGATTTTTAAAGATTTGAGGCGCCTGGGTGGCTCAGTAGGTTGAGCATCTGCCTTTGGCTCATGTCACAATCCGGGGGTCCTGGGATCAGCCCCACATTGGGCTCCCTTGCTTCCCCCTCCCCCTACTCATGTTCGCTCGCTCTCTCTTGCAAATAAATAAAAATACTCAAAAAGAAAAAAAAAAAAGATTTATTTATTTTAGAGAGAAAGCACACCCTAGCAGGACGAGCATGGGGAGAGGGAGAGAGAATCTCAAGCAGACTCCACACTGAGCGCGGAGTCCAATGCAGGGATTGATCCCAGGACCACGAGACCATGACCTGAGCCAAAACCAAGAGTTGGACAATTAACTGATTATGCCACCTAGGCACCCTGAGATACCTGGGTTTTTACTGTAAAAAGTTGTTTGGAAAAATAATTTGAAAAAAAAAAAGAAAAAGAAAAGAAAAAGAAAAATTTGACAGGAGTAAGAACTGATTAGCCATAATGACCCCAAAAAGTTAAGCAGTGGAGGTGGGGATTACCCAGTTCATGTAGTGTGCCTTAATATGTATACTTCTTGGTCAAAGGACACACAGATTAGATGCTTTAATACCTGAAAACTAATCAACTACAAAAAGTTTTCTATAACCAGTAACTGAGATCATTGTTTTCAGAGACAATGACCATGTGCCAGGTACTGCTCGAGGATAATAAAAAAGAACCTGTCTCTACAGTCAGAGTTCAGAAAAGATGACAAAAATATAAACACACAGTTAAAAATATAATAGGTCAAATGCTAAATTAAAGTTGCCCACACTGATATGAGACAAAGAATGAGCCTGGAAAAACAACAGTGCCAATAACAAAAAGAAAGTGAGACAGCAAGATTTGTTTGAGGGACTCTGAGGTAAAAAACAAATAAGAAAAAAGACTATAACTAGTACTGGACATCCACAATATACCAGATAAATTTGGTTTCAGCCATGTTGAGACAGTAACACACCTGGGTAGAGATGGTCAGTAGGCAACTGGAAATGCTAGATGAGAAACTAGAAGAGGGTGGGCATGGTAAAGGGACATTCAAACCAAGGGAGAAGACTCAAGAAAAAGGACAGAGAATTGACCTTGAGGGAAATCCCATGACAGAAGACGGAGAAGGCACAGAAAATTTCTGAAACAAAGAACACTTATTCGATACATCCAATGACATCTTCTGAAAGTTTCCCAATTTCGGAAATGGTGGATTCAGGAGTAAGTGCAATGAAAAGAAATAAAAGTATTGGTGAAGGGAATGAGAAGGCAAGTGAGGTTTTTGTAAGATGAGCAAACCTAGGAGTGTTTCTAAGGAGGGGGAAAGGCACCAGCATAGGGGCAACGATGCAAGCAGCAGAATCATTGAAAGAGCCTCGTAGGCGGAATGGTTGTGGGCCTGAAGGAGGCCAATTCTTTCAGCAGCGAAAGAACTGGAGGAAAGCCTAGGTAGAGAGAGAGGAAGAGTATACAGGGGAAAGGAAGGAAACTCAAACGCTCAGATCAGATTGTTGTCTATCTTTCTGGTTTAAGTAAGAGATTAGGTAATTCTGTGAGGCTGAGGGGTTTCAAGGACGAGTGGAGGAGTTTGAGAGTCAAAAAATAGTCTGGAATCGCCAGTGTCCACAAACACAAATAACACAAGCAAGGTCATCAATGACAATTACGAGTCCCGATGGGGTTAGAGAGGAAGCATTTACAAAGAGCAATGTGAGGGGACAAAAATTTTTTTAATGCACTGTGGGCATGTTTTGTTAAAAAAAAAAAGGAAACTTGAACCTATCCGAAATATACGCATAAATTAAGAACACCTCATTTATCCAAAATGGTTGGGTAGTAAAGTGTTACACCAGTTTTCCAGATCATCAAGGTCTACCTTTCAGGCAAAAACATTTTATACTTAATGGTATCCGACAGAAATCCTTCTGAACTACACATGATCTGTCTTCTTGACTACGCAAGTTGAATCAATGTTAACCACCTACTCCTGCTGTACTGTGTGTGCAGCTAGACAGTGCTCTCTTTTTTACAGCTCTTCTATGTCTTTCCCAGCTGTCAAGATAGAAAGCAACTGGTTCTTCTAAGTTTATGTTTATCCTTACCACCTCAACAACCACAGCCCCCTTGCTTAGCAACTTGCTTCTAGTCAGCCTCCTACAATGCAGTGTTCTCCAACTTTTCTAAACCATGGCCCCTTATGATAAACATGAGAATCTTCAGTTCCCTTCTGTCCTCTTATGGAGCATCAGTGCTCTGACTCCTTGCGGTCCAGGAAAATGGAAAAACTGAAAACAACTTCCTAGTGAATACTTACGCTACCTATAGATTTAGATCATAGGATTCTAGGAAACACATTCCCCACACGTCCCCCTAGGACAGTCAAGTATTAATCAAAACATGAGCAAGTTTAGCTTAGCAAATAGCCTTAGTCCCCTCTCAAACAAAAGGGTAGTTACTCTCACCAGGCTTAAGAACAGGGATTGCCAAAGGCCATCTGAAGGCTGCTGCCTTTTTAGTAATCTTTCTTCTAACTTTTCAAACTGACTTCTTAAAAAACCACCATGAAAATACTTACAGGTTCATTGCTCATCTTCCTAAGTAACCCAGAGCACTACCGCTGCAATTTTCAACCACAGTAAATGAAAAGTTAGAAACCTCTCACTCTTTACTACAGAAATTACATCTCAGAACTAAATGTTATTTGGAGAAGTTAGTACAAACCAATAATTGAAAAAATAGCAGAATTGGCTTAACTTCCAAACAGTTTTGATAATCATTCAGGCAGTGAAAATATTGATCCACTTGCTACTCTCATTATTTCTCAACCCTGAAACTTTTCCTAGGTCCAATGGAACTGGTAAGTAAATATAAACCCCAGCTCAGGTGTATCGCCATCCTTCTACGTGAGAGCCTCCCTGGGCAGCCCGATCATATAAGCCCCCCCCCCCCACCCCACCACCTGGCAAGCAAGCTCTTCCATCTTTTCTAGCCAGGATTCCCACCACCCTCCTGCCTTCCCCATCGACTCCTGCCAAACTACAAATACTTGCTTCTTGTTTTTAGCTTTGTTTTTTTCCCCCCACATACTAATTTGTAAAGAAGCTTCACCCTTGAAATGTCCTTTCCCCAGCCCCCACCTCTGCTTAACAAATTTCTACCCATCCTTAAGTAACCTCAAAATGTCACCTACTTCAGAAACCCTTTCCTCATGCTCCAAATAGAAACTCTGCCATCCTCTGCTACCCCAGTAATTGGTTGTACCTTTCCCGCAGCACTTGAGCGCAATCCACCACGTCTCCTCCGTCTCTGAACAACGAACTTCTCGCAGCCACCGTCTGCATTACAAGAACCTTTCTAATCTTTCTTATCAGCCAGCGTAGTGCATCAGTAACGCTGGGTTCCAAGTTTGCGGGGGAGTTGTACAGTATGCAATCAAAAAGTCCTTTAAGGGACAGAATGCCACCTAAGAATTTTTCAAATCAAATAAACTAAAAATCATGGCAAGCAGAGGAACAATACTGCAACACTAAGAAAATAAAACTTTCTGCCTGTCTTATTCCTCAAAAAAAAAAAAAGTTAATACCAACAGATCACTAATAGCTTAAACGGACCTTTTCAAGAAAGTTGTTTTCAAATAAATGAGTTGAAAAGACTCCTTTAAAAATTTATTCGTTTTAGTGCTGTGCAAATTACACTTTTCCCCCTGTTGGATAAAGGAGTGATGAGAACTTCTTTCCTATCGAATTTTATTTTTATTTCTTTATTCAGGTACTAGAGAAAGCAGTGAGTGTTGGAAAACCGCGTCAAGGGCACCATAACAGCCACGTACGACGCTGAGTAAAAATACAATGTCGTGGGGTTCCATTTGCCGTAGTGAACCCAGATGCCTGGGCTGCCACCCGTCCCGGCAGCCCTCGGGTTGCTACAGGAGCGGGAGAAAGGCGCGCAGCCAGGGACGCTGAGGGACGAGATGGCCGCCTGCGGCAGCTCAGTTAAAATGCAGCGGAAGCAGCAGCCAGTCACGGGGCTGCGGAAGGGAGGGCAGCAAGGTGGCGCTGCCGCCGAGCGCCTAGAGCCTGAGCGCCCATCATGGCGGCAAGGGCAATGGCCGCTGTGGGGAGCGAGCACGCCCCCTCCGCGCGCACACGCTGCCGTGCCGAGCCTCGGGGGCCCGTCACCGGAGCCGGAGCCGCCGCCGCCGCCCGCTCTCCGACCCCCCCTCACGGGCTGTAGCGGAATTTTCTCTTCAGACGCCGCCTTCAAGATGGCGGCTCCCCCTCCCGACAACCCCCTCAATCGTCCCCTGCAGCAGGCGCCGGGCCGCCGCCATCTTGTCCCCCGTCCCTCCCCCCCCCCCGCCGATATTTACATAGCGAAAATCGGCCCGGCCGGCCTGCGGCCTTCACCTCACGCCTGCAGCCTTCGCCTCCTTGCCAGGCCTCGCCCCCGCGCGGTGCCCCGGGCAGGCCGCGGCTCCGACCCAACGCCCCTCCGCCGCCTCCCAGGCCACCGGGCGACCCTCCCCCAACCCCCGCCCGTTCACGGAGCGCGCCACCGCCGCCGCTCGGGGCAGCCGGGCTCCTCCCCGGGCCTAACTGCGGCCTCCTCGGGGCCTGCTCGGCGCCACGCGCCGCACCGCCCGGCCTAGCGCGGAAGGGCGCCTCGCGGGCCGCCGACCAGGCCGGGACCAGGCCGCTGCGCGCGCGCTAGGCCCCACGGCCGCGGCGGCGCCCGGAACTCACCGGACGGGCGTGCGGGCGGTCGGCGACGGTGCCGGGTGCTGCAGGCCGGCCTTTCTCTGGAGCACTGGGCCGGGCTCCGGCTGGTGGGGCGGGCGGAGGGAGGGAGGAGGGGCCGAGCTCGGAGCTGACAAAAAGCGGCCCAGCTCCCCGGCACGGGCCCGCCGTCAGCACGTCACGTCACCGCCCGGGAGAGAGACCCAGGAAAATGCGGAAGGGTAGATAGGCCCCCTCCTCCGCCCGGTGTGTCCCCCCGGCACCCCGGGTTGGCGCCGCTCACGCTCCGCGACCGGTGAGCCTAGTGGCCTCGCTGCGGCGGGGTCTCCGGCGGCCGGAGTCTCCGTGACAGCGCCCCCCTTCTTTCCACCTCCTCCGCGCTCCCGCCCGCCGCCGCTACACACGCGCCGCTGCCGCCGCCTCGGCCGTAAAGACCGCGCCGGGCCGCGGTCCTTCGACCCCGTGGAGAGGCGGGCGGCCCGCACCCGACTCGGCCTGGCCGCCCCCCCCCCCCCGTCTCCCGTGGGCCTCGGCCGCCCCCCGGGCCCTCCCCGGAGACCTACCGCCTCTCCGTGCCGGTCTTGGCCGAGGCGCCTGCTCGAGTTGTTTGCAGGGCCTCAGACCCCCGCCCGCAGTAAATGTGTTTTCTTCATCCCTGTGGCTGGAGAAGATAAATTTAGCAATCCCCGCCGTCCCCTGCCTTGGCTTTAAAAAAAAAAAAAAAAAAAAAAAAATCTGAAATAAAATGAAAAAAGGCTTGCCAGTCTAAATGGGTGTGCGGGCACGAGGAGGGGGAGAAGGGTTATCCTACAGCTACTACCAAATCGTTTAATTTTTTTTTTAACAAGCATTCAGTCAGAGGACCTGATTTTATTAATTTGCAGGATACAAAGATGAGGAAAAGCGTTACCTTTTCAAACTGGTTTCGCACATTGCAATGAACAGGAATTTTTAATGTATATTTTCTATATATCTATTTCAGAGTTTGGGAGCCTATGAAACCTAAGCCTTCTGTAATTGTTTTATAAATAATGAGTTTTTCAGTCTTTAGAGAGGTAGCAGAATTGAGTATAGTTGGTTTTTTATTTTACAAACTAAAGCCTTTTAAAGTTTAAAAATATTTAAGAGCAAAAAATATGTATTTGATAAACAAGCATTTATGAACTCCAAAAATGCATATTTGCATTCCCATTAAATTTTAATGCTTTCCATACTGAACTTGGGACCCAAACTATGTTTACAAGTTACTAGTTAAACGTTAAGCAATGTAATCCTTATATTAATCCAGAATCTGACGTTTTATTTCTTCAGTTCACTAAATGCTAAAAAGAGATTTTTAAACAGTAACGAACACAAAGGTTATAAAGCAAATAGCATACCGGTGTGAAGTCCCTTCAAACACAGAGGCCATGTATTTAGGTTCCCGTCATAACTTTAAAACTCCCATAATGCAAGTTGTCCTTTCCCTCAGAAATTCTACAATTATAAAATGCTTTCAAGAAGGAAAAACAAAGGTATAATAACCAGAAATCTCTGAAGACATACCGGAGGGTAATTTTCCTCTCCAGGCTTTACCTTTGGTTTTTTGCAAGAGATTAAATTTCCTTTCAAAAATGGTGAATGACAACATGTCTTCACCATTTCTAGAAAATTGCATTAGATTGTGAGACAGACTGTATGCACAGAAAGGTAAATAAAACTAATACTTGTTCAAGTAAAATATGGGAAATAGCTTGTGTGTGCATACTAATAACTTCAAAAACTGATAACCAGTGTTTTAAGTACTTTCCAAGGGCCTCCATTTTAATGCTATGGTATGTCAAGAATGGGGCCTCATCACCATGTAGCTACAAGCAGCATGAATACAAAAACCTAATGTCAGCATTCTTGTTAGTTCTTCCATAATTACCATCAAATACTTCTAAGTACACCAATATAAAGCACTTCAGAAAACAATATCAGGGATCATAAAAGAAAAAGATGTTTCCTCAATTTAGAAGTCCAGAAGTAGTTTAGGTCTTTAGATTTTTCAAAAGCCCTTTACCATTACTTTTCATACATAAGAGACTATTAACTTTGTTGGGAAACAAGGAAACAATGCCCTGGTTCTATTAATTATATTAGATAAAACTTTTTTGCGGTACAACAAATATTCTATAGCTGATTGTACAGACAAGCTCAACTATAAGTTGTCAAGAAAGGGAAAGTAATTTGTACTTTAAATCCATTTATGGAAGGCCATAAACAACAGTGTATGATGATCATTTTACTAGCAGTACACTCTATAAAATACTCATGATAAAGGAACAAAGAAAGGATAAGCAACGGAGATCAGAAATTGTTCAATCTTATAGTAACACACAAAACAGAGTTTATGAAAATATTCACACTAGGACCTGGAGGACACCTAAGATCAATGAAAGCATTTGGTAACCAAGCGGTGAGTGATTAAGGACCTGACACCTTACACTGAACGACAGCCTATCTTGCATTGCTGCTTTTGTTCAATGTTTTGGTATTTGGGACCTATAGAATTCTGGGCACAGAGAGTAAAAAGATGTGGTGCTTGCCCTTGGGGAACTGCAAATAAGGAGGCTGTGTGTGGCAGAATAAAAACATTCTTAAGTGCTTTCATTTTCTCGCTTAAATAAGCACACAGTAAAAGGAAATTTTATTTAGGTACATGGAGAGCAGAATATTTCAGAGGCATATGCTGTGAATACAGAATATTTTCAATGCAGTCAAATGGATTTTGGTTATGTGCTAAAATTTATTTGTTCCTTCAGAGCTGTTAATGTATATCAGATAGTTAAAAGCTTCTACTCAAGGTTTTGACAGTGTTTTAATAACTTAACTAAAATCCCTGACATGTTTATAGGTCCTTGAGCCAGAAATAATACCAGGCCTTTCAATCACTTTTCCAGAGAAAGATTGGTCAGAAAAGAAGCTGTTAGGAAAAAAAGAAAGAAAGAAAAGAAAAGAACAACAAGAAGAAAAGAAGCTGTTGCTTTTCATTCCACGTCACTGACTGATGGAAATCCAAATGGGAAACAGTAAATTATTGCCTTAGAAACAGAGACCTTCTTGAATAAAGTTGTGGTAATTCATTATTTTATATCCATAAGGTTGAAAATTATTCACTTTCCCCTAGAAAGGCCCTAGTTTTATTGAACTAAGCATGCCCTATAAAAATGAACCATTTATCTGATACTTGATACTTAAGTTATACTTATCTTAACATGAGCAAGTTGCATCATGTTGGAATTCAGCTGGCTATAATTAACGTCAAGTAAGAATTTTTAATCTGAGCCTTTAAGCCACACACCCTCCCCAAGGGAAATAATTTTTAAATAAACAGTGACTGACAATTAGGTGATTTTCAAACAGTATTTTTTCACACAAGTCATTAGTTGAATAAGACATTGTTTAGTTCCTGAAAGTCACCAATAGCCAAATTCTCATGGATTATAAATCACAGAACACAGCAAACAAATTCCTCCGCTAAAAAGGTGAAAATCGATATGTGAGGCCTAGAAACAATGACCTGCCAGGTCCCCAGCCTTGGGCCTCTATGTACAGTTTTCCACTAAAGGAACCAGGGTTTCTGGAAGAAATGACAGATTCCTGGGCTGGGGCAGAAAAGTACATAGCAAATCAGGAATATCTCCTCATAACAGAAAGCAAGAAAAGAAAATGTCAAAGCTTACTAGGGGTATGTCAGAGAGTCTCAGGGACCAGTTTATAGAGGCTCTAGTTGGCTAAAGATGAAAAAATTTGGATGTCAAAGGATTAACTGCTGTGGAATGAAACACATCAAGTATGTTTGTGAGTTTATAATGAGACTTTTATAAATGATCTATTGCACAGCTTTGTGAATACACTATAGACTGGTAAATCGTACAATTTAAAAGAGTGAATTTTATAGCATGTGTATTATATTTTGAATTTTAAAAAAATGATCACCTTTGCAGAATGGTAGAGAACCAAATTATTGTTTTGAAAACTAGTAAAAGGAAAGATGAAGCACTGATCCTGTATGATATGTTCCTCAGGCTAGACAAACAGCTGATGGGGTGATTTTCTTTTAATAATTCTACAATACATGAAGAAGACTTGATGGAATTAGAATAGAACCATTTTGCAACCCCAAGTGAATTAATAGATCTAGGCAATGAACAGAAATGGCTGCTAACCAGAATGACAACTAGACATATACCTCGTGACAAAAGTACACAGAGCCATCAACTAAAAAAATCAAACCTGAACCTGATCAACTCTTTAGCTCTAACTGCCAATTTACAGGAAATACAGGGAACAGAGAAACTTATCAACAAAACACAGGGATGCAATCAACAAAATTCAGATGGTGGGAAACACTATAGGACCTGCTTTCTTCAACAAATAAACTATACCAAAAAATTTGAGGGGAAACCAATAGATAAGAAAAGACTTAAAAGACATTATTAATAAGACGCACTGTATGAACTTTATGTTGATCTTGATTCAAACAAACAAGTGTAAAAAAAAAGTAAGACAGAGAAATGTGAACACCGAATTGTTGTCAACACGAACTGGATATAAACAATTTATTGTCAATTTGGTTTAGGTGTAATGATGATGTGATTAAATCTCTTTTTTTAAGATTTTATTTATTTATTTGACAGACAGAGATCACAAGTAGGCAGAGAGGCAGGCAGAGAGAGAGGGTGGAAGCAGGCTCCCCGCTGAGCAGAGAACCCGATGAGGGGCTTGATCCCAGGACCCTGAGATCATGACCTGAGCTGAAGGCAGAGGCTTAACCCACTGAGCCACCCAGATGCCCCTGATGTGATTAAATCTTAAAAAGATACCTTATCTTTTAGAGATACATTATCAAAATGTTTTTGATAAAATGATATACTACTGATGAAAGACCTATACTCTGAAAGCTGTAAGACACTGATTAAAGAAACTGAAGAAGACACAAACAAATGGAAACATATATTGACAAAGCAATCTACAGATTCAATGCATTCTCAATCAAAATACCAATAGCATTTTTCAGAGAACAGAAAAAATAATCCTAAAATTTGTATGGAACAACAAAATATCCTGAGTAGCCAAACCAATTTTGAAAAGAACAAACCTGGAGGTATCATAATCCCAGATTTCAGACTGTACTACAAAACTAAAGTAATCAAAATAGTATGGTACTGGCACCAAAAAAAGACACATAGATTAATGGAACAGGATAGAGAGCTCAGAAATAAACCGTGCTTACATGGTCAATTAATCTAAGACAAAGGAGGCAAGCACATAAAAGCACAATAAATAATGGGAAAAAGACAATCTCTTCAATAAATGGTGTTGGGAAAACTAGACAGCTACATGTGAAAGAATGAAACTGGACCACTTTTTTTTTTTCTTTTATTTTTATTGGGCCACTTTTTTATGCCATATACAAAAATAAACTCAAAATGGACCAAAGACTTAAATGTAAGACCTAAACCAATAAAACTCTTGAAAGAAAATATAGGCAATAATCTCTTCGACATTAGCCTAAGCAACATATTTATAGATAATATTTCCTGAGGTAAGGGAAACAAAATAAAAAATAAACTATTGGGACTACAACAAAATAAAAAGATTTTGCACAGCAAAAGAAACCTTCAACAAGTCAAAAAGGGATCCAAATGAATAGAAGAAGATATTTGCAAATGATATATCTGATAAAAGGTTCTTATCCAAACTATACAAAGAACTCATATAAACCCAACACCAACAAAATAAACAATCCCATTAAAAAACGAACAGAGGACCTGAACAAACATTTTCCCAAAGAAGACTTATAGATGGCCAACAGCCACATGAAAAGATGCTCCACATTACTAATCATCAGAGAAATGCAAATCAAAACCACAATGAGATACCTTATATCTATCAGAATGGCTAGTACCCAAAAGACAAAAAACAACAAATGTTGGCAAGGATGTGAAAAAAAGGGAACCCTTTTGTGCCCTGTTGGTGGGACTGTGAATTAGTGCAACCCCTGTAACAGAGTATGGAGGTTGCTCAAAAAATTAAAAATAGAAATCCCATATGATCCAGTAATACCACTTTTGGGTATTTACCTAAAGGAAATAAAAACACTAATTTGAAAAGATATATGCACCTCTATGTTTATTGCAGCATTATTTATTTATTTAATGTTTTAACATTTTATTTATTTTAAGGAAGCTCTACACCCAATATGGGGACGTGAACTCGCGACCCTGAGATCAAGAGTCACATGCTCTGCTGATTGAGCCAGTCAGGAGCCCCTGCAGCATTATTCATAATAGTCAAGGTATGGAAGCAACCTAAGTGTCCACTGATAGATCAAAGTATAAAGAGGATGCAGGAGATAGATAGATAGAGTATGTATGTATTATGGAATATTACTCAGCCATAAAAAAGAATGAGATTTTTTTTTTTTTGCCATTGCAGCAACAGGGATGGGATCTAGAGGGTATTGTGTTAAGTGAAATAAGTCAGACAGAGAGAAATAAATACCACATGATTTCACTTACAGGCGGAATCTAAAAAACAAAAGAAATGAACAAACAAAAAACAAAAAGAGACTCTTAAGTAACAGAGAACAAGGGTAGTTGCCTGAAAGAAAGTGGGTGGGGGCACGAGCATAGTAGGTGAAGGGGATTAAGAGGTAAAACTTCCAGTTATAAAATAAATAAGTCACAGAGATGAAAAGTACAACACAGGGGATAGATATAGTCAATAATACTGTAATAACACGACAAGGTGACAGGAGCAGACTATGTTTACTGTGGTGATGAGCACTTCGTAATGTATAGAACTGCTGAAACACTACGTTGTACACCTAAAACTAGTGTAATACTGTATGTCGACTATACTTCATAAAGAGAATGATATGCTATCAGAGATGACCTTCAAAATAATGAGGGAGGTTGAGGGAAGCACGGAGGTAGAGGGTGAAGTGGGTGGGGGATATAAATGAAACAGAATTGGCCATGAAAGGACAAATATTGATTCTGGACGATGGGCACGTTGGGGTTGGATGCATTATTTTCATTGTGTATATATTTGAAATTTTCCATAGCAAGTTTAAAAAACAAACAAAAATAAACATACGAAGAAAAAATTACCTTTACATTCCACAGAATCTTTGGAGTGGGGCAAGAATTACAGATATTCAATTGCCTCCCTTCTCACTTTCCTCTGAACAATATAACAGCACTTATTTTTAAAAGAATTAGCATAATTAAAAATGGAATAAATAAAACTAGACCACTTATGATTAAGAAAACAGCAATGGTTTTCAAATTTGCAAGGGAATATCTTGCTAAAGATGCAGACTGCTGGCTCTCACTTCCGAGAAATTCTAATTTTTAGTAGCTAGGCGCTAGAGCTAAGGAATCTGCAGTTTAACCAGGGGCCCAGGTGATACATAGACAACCGGGCCACACAGCAATACACTTTAAGAAACATTAGTACACCCCGGTAAATGCCTATTTGCCCACATTTATAAGAGTTTCTCTTGAAGTATAAAGAAGTAAAATTGCTGGAAAAGGCATTGCTGGATATGGCACATTTTCAGTATTACTCTCCAAAATGACTATGCTAATATATATTCCTTCCAGCAGAAGAAGAGAATTCCCAAATCCTCATTTCTTGGCTAACTCTTGATGTGCTCATACTTTTTAACTTTTGCCAAGAACATAACTAACTACCTTACAGAATGATCTTTCAGTTAGCAACATTTGCTAAAGCAGCTCTTGAAAAATCTGCCACATTTTGAACAAAGACTCCTTTTTCACGACATAATGACTTTTCACCTCAAAATACATTAAATAAATATGACAAAAGAAGTGATAATTCAACATTACAGTTTAAAGCAAAATATTCTCACCAATTACAGAATATAAGAATTTCTCATCAGAGAATCTCATATGGAACAAGTTTGAATTGTGCTCTATGTTTACATGAACCACAAATGTTTTTTGCTTGTTTTTGCACACAGACATAAAGCAAATAGAAACAAACACCCCAAATTGAGAACAAAACAGGAAGGAGCGGCTGGCAGAAATGTGGAAAGTTTCGTAATTCTTGAAAAGGTGAATGAAGCCAAGGACACAGCAAGAATCTGACCGAGTGAAATTCAGGTTTCAGGTGTGAGTTGTGCGTGTAAGACTCAGGTGGCCGACAATGCAGTCCCCACTCGACGGTGAAGACACGACGTCGAGAAAAATTCACATGAAAATGAAGTGAGAGGTCGAGTCAGAGCCTGGCACGAGGTGGTCTGGTGAGGAGTCTGGGACGCTCTTCGCTGTTAAGAATGACGCCGTGAGCAGCCACAACCGATGGATTCGTTATACAAGGGCTACAGGGCTGTGAGCTGGGCTCTTGGAGCAGAGCTTCTGGAACTTCATGCGCACACAACCCCCGCCCCCCGGGGGTGCTGTGAACAGGCTCTTCTGCGGCAGCAGCGGGGCCAGGACGGCCCGAGACTCTGCATTTCCAACCAGCAACCGGGCCAGGCCTCTGCGCCGAGCAGCGCGGGTTCCCGGGACCCCCGGGCCGCGCGGGGGCTCCTCCCGCGGGCTTGGCTTCCAGCCGGTGGCCCGCAAGCCACGCAGCACACGCACGCAGCCGCCCGCGCTGCAGCTAGAAGGACGGTGGCAGCGGGAAGGGGCCGGAACCCACGGCCTGCGCCGCCGGGCGGGGGGCAGCCGGGGCTCAGAGTCCTTTATTTCCCCGGAGCCTCACACGTGGCCCAGGGGGGCTGAGGGAAGGGCAGGGGGCAACCGCGGGGGAGGGGAGGACCGGCCCCCGCGTCCGCGCCCCCGGGGACCCAACCTGCGCAGGCGGAGGAGAGGGACGGCGGCCGCGGAGATCGGACGGCCTGCGCCGAGCCCGACAGGTACGCTGCTCCCAGCCCAGAGAGGCGCTCAGGAAGAAGCTTCCGCAGAAAAGGTTTCGAAGCTTGAGGCAGGCACATCTCTACCTGCAGACCGGAAGAGCTCCCCGCACCTCGGGGAGAATTACCTCCCTACGCACCGACACAGCTGGGCGACAGTTTCGAACGACCACTCTCCACGGCAGAAAGCCCTGCAGTCGTGACGACAGGAGAAAACCCGTCCATTCTTGAGGGCTCCCCTTGTGCTCTGCACGCTACTTGGTGCTTCCCGTGAGGGCTCTCATCTGAAGCTCACGGCGCTCCAGCTCCAGGGAAAGCCATGGTGCAGGCCTTGGGCTTGACTGCGTTCAGGAACTCCATCGATGTGGCCAGGCCGCCTTTGCCCTCCAGCTGCCTCAGCTCTCTTCCATCCCATGCTGTAGCAGACGGCCTCCTTCCACATGGGCACACGCAGCTCCGCGCTCACATCATCGCAGCCCAGTTCCCCCGGAAGAAAGAGAGTCTCTCTTCTGGGGACAGTGGCCCCTAGCCTTCTTGTCCTGCTCCTCCGGCCGTGGAACCTCTGCCTGTGAGCAAGCTGGAGCAGGACAGATCATGTCCCTGTACTGCAGCCTGCTGCTCATGCAGTAGAACTTCTGTCCCACAGTGGAGGCTGGACAGGAATGGGACCTCCAGTCCTCTGCCTTGAACCTACCTGGGTATAGCTTCTGCAACCCAGAGTTGGGGTGTTGAGAGATGCTGATGGCCTGCCCTTCCTGGAGTGAAACCATAGCCCTAGACTGGGAGCGGGATGGAAATGGAATCCATCAGACTCAGCCGCGAAGTGGGAAGCAGTTCGTGGCTCAAATGTCACAGACTCCCATTTAAGTAACAAGTTCATGGTTCTTACTAAGGTTTACTAGTAGATTTTCTTGGATAAATGTTTCTCTATTTGCTATATGTTCTTGGGACAATCCCAGAAACTTTAAATGGTTGGGTTTTTTAAATAATTTTCGTCAGCTAAATGGTTGTTTCACTGGGGAGGATGTCTACTGACCTTACCCCACCATTTTGGAAGTCCATATTTCAATCAGGTTTTTTTTTTTAAAGGTGAAAAATAAGTTTGTTTGATAGTATTATAAACTCATGATTCAAAAACATACTCCACGTGTTTCAATCCACTGCAATTATTCTTAATGATGTTCAAATTATCCCAACTGGGACTAGGGGAAACTTCTCTAGGTTGGCTCCTAAGTCCTTTTGGCATGTTCTTAGCAGTTGTTGAAAGCTTTCTTGCTGTTAAAATACTGTGTACATTCTACTTGCTTCAGCAGTACAAATACTAAAATTGGAATGATACAGAGATTAGCATGGTCCCTGTGCAAGGATGACACAGATTTGTGCAGCGTTCCATATTTTTAGATGCCATATGATTTTACTCATGTGTAAGACTTAAGAAATGAAAGAAATGAACAAGGAAAAAAAAAAGAGACAAGCCAAAAACCAGCCTTTTAACAATAGAGAACATACTGATGGCTACTAGAGGGGAGGTGAGAGGGGACATAGGTTAAATAGGTGAAGGGGATTAAGGGTACACTTATCTTGATAAGTACTCAGTAATGTACAGAAATTTAAAAAATAAGGAAACATTAAAGATAGAATAAAAAGAGATGCCTGCGTGGCCCAGTCGGTTAGGTGTCCGACTGGGTTTTGGCTCAGGTGGTGATCTCAGCCTGGAGTCTGCTTGAGATTCTCCCTGCTCCTCCTGCTCATGCTCTTTCTCTCAAATAAATCTTTTTTTAAAAAAGAAAGCATAAAAAATAGGACATGAATAATAAAAAATGTATTAGACATCATGATAAATATATTGGAATCCACACTCCTATTAAAAATTAAGATTCAAGGGGCGCCTGGGTGGCTCAGTGGGTTAAGCCTCTGCCTTCGGCTCAGGTCATGATCTCAGGGTCCTGGGATCGAGCCCCACATCGGGCTCTCTGCTCAGCGGGGAGCCTGCTTCCTCCTCTCTCTCTGCCTGCCTCTCTGCCTACTTGTGATCTCTCTCTGTCAAATAAATAAATAAAATCTTAAAAAAAATTAAGATTCAAAAGGAAAACAATTAAGATTCACAGGGGTGCCTGGCTGACAAAGTTGGTAGAGCATGTGACTCTTGGTCTTGGGGTTATAAGTTGAACCCCTGCATGGGGTGTAGAAATTACTTAAAAATAAAATCTTGGGGTGCCTGGGTGGCTCAGTGGGTTAAGCCTCTGCCTTCGGCTCAGGTCATGATCTCAGGGCCCTTCCCCCTCCCTCTCTCTGCCTGACTCTCTGCCTATTTGTGATTTCTCTCTGTCAAATAAATAAATAAAATCTTTTAAAAAATAAAATCTTAAAAAATATAAAAATTAGGATTCACAAATTGGATTAAGAATTCTATTTTATGTTATTTAAATGAAACACAAAATGAATCAAAAAGATTAATGTAAAAGAAGAGGAAATACACAAAAGAAATGCAAATGAAAAGAAATCAAAGATGAAAAACATTAGTACAATTTGACATTTAAAAAATGACATTGGAATTTATAAAGCCAAAATATGAAGAAGGATTTAGTCTTCCTTAACAGCTTCCTGGAAAGAAATTGAATACTAGATAATATGCTGGGTTTTTTAAAAAAAAATTGTATTTATTTACTTGACAGAGAGATGGAGAGAGAGAGAGCACAAGTAGGCAGAGTGGCAGGGAGAGGGAGAAGCAGGCTTTTCTCCGAGCGGGGAGCCCAAGGCCGGGCTCGATCCCAGGACCCTGGGATCAGGACCTGAGCTGAAGGCAGCTGCTTAACTGACTGAGCCACCTAGGTGCCCCAATAATATACTATTTTTTTTCCTAGTGTCATGTAGCATTTACAAAAACTGAATATATAGCTCTACTAACAGTGGCATGTAAGTAGGGTTCAAATGCTAAAGAAGACACACAGGACCCAAGAGGACATGGCTTACAAATGTAGTCTATTATAGGAAAAGGACATGCTATAGAAACAGCACAAAAGTCAGAATATACATCACAGCATATCATTCATAGCAGAGGTCTGGAGAGGACAGGTGCAGGCTCCTATTGTCCTCTTCTGGTCCTAATAGATGTTCTGCACTCATCTTATATCTTCCCTGCCCCAACCCTAGAATCAGCCATTTCTTTAAGGAGCCCTGGTTCCGTTTATTGAAGAATGATATTTAGGAACACAGATCTGGGTGCTAGGTGTGCTCATTGCTGCTGGGGTAACATGGCTTCTAGACCATTTCAGAAGCCAGAGCCAGAAAATATATCTAAGTATACTACCCTAGGTGTATATATATATGTCTATATTTCTGTATATATCTAACAACTAGACTTGGTACATACACTTATGTACAGTTCTTTTTATTGCTAGCCTTACAATATCTAGTCAAAACACCATTTTTTTTTCTTTTTTTAAATTGAAGTATAGTTGACATACATTTTTTAGTTACAGGTGTACAACATAAAATTCACTATTTGTACATAATGCAAAATGATTACCCCAATAAGTCCAGTTAACATCTACCACCATATACCCATTTCTTGTAATGAGAACTTAAAAGACTTCCTGTCTTAGCAATATTCAAATATGCAATATAGTATTTATTAACTATAGTCACCATGCTGCACATGATATCCCCATGACTTATTTATTTTATAACTGGAAGTTTGCACTTTTTGACTCCCTTCACCCATTTTACCCACATTTCACCCCTATCCTTTGTCTACCACCAATCTATTCTCTGTGTCCATAAACTTAAAAACAGTGTTTCAAAGTTATTTAACATTTCCCCTTGTCCTCTTTAGCGAAGTTATGCCCTACAATTTTAATACAATTAGATTCTTTTGTCACAGGCTGCATTCCATCCTAGGCTCACTGACAATCAGATGGATTTTTAAAAATTTGCAAACAGTAAAGTTCATTCTTGGTGGTGTTAACAGTCTATGGAATTTTGACAACTATATAGCCACCCTGCCCTGGTACAGCCCATGATGTACTCGACCCTTCCCTCTCTCACACTCCCTGGTAACCACTGCTCTGCTTTCCATCCTGTAGTAGACTGAAAAAATATGCAAGTCCTAATCCCTCCAACCTGTGAATGTTACATTACATGGCAAAAGGGACTTTGCAGATGTGATTAAGAATTTCGTGATGGGGAGATTATCCTGGATTATCCAGGTAAGTGCTAAATGTAATCACAAAGGTCCTTAAAGGAGAGCAGCAAGACAGTCAAAGGAGGTAGTAGGAGACATAAAGATGGAAGCAAGAGGTTGGAGTGATAGGGATAGTGATAGGAAGGGGATACAAGCTAAGTAATACAGGCAGCCTCCAGAAGCCAGAAAAGTCACAGAAATGCATTCTCCCTTAGAGCCTCCTGAAGGAACCAGTCCTGTAGCACCTTGACTTTAGCCTAGTGAAACAAATATTTTACTTCTGGCCACCAGAACTGTAAGAGAATAAATCTGTGTTGTCAGCCACCAATTTTGTATTATTTTTTTACAGCAACAGTAGGAAACTAATACATCCCCCTATAGTCTCGCCTTTTCCAGAATGTCCTATGAATGGCACTATACAATACTTTCGGGTCTTAGAACCTGGCTTCCTTCACTCAGCAAAATGCATTTACAATCCATCCATGTTGATGTTATATATATTTCACTGCTAAGAAAAGAGATTCATTCATGTCGAGTGAATCAGTAGATTTTTTTCCTTCTTATCACTGACTAGTACTCCACTGTACGCATGTGCAAGTTTGTTATCCATTCACCTGTTGAAGGACATCTGGTAGTTTCTGATGAATAGAGCAGCTATGAACATTTGCATACAAGTTTGTGTGTGCACACAAATTTTCCATTAACTTAGCTATTAAAGAAAACTCATAGGTATTCAGAGCTTTTAGGACATGAGGATGGCAATTTAAATATCATTACCAGGGAAACACATTATTAAGTAATACAAACAAAAAGACGGGTGCCTGGGTGGCTCAGTTGGTTAAGCCACTGCCTTCGGCTCAGGTTGTGATCCTGGAGTCCTCAGATCAAGCCCCACATCAGGCTCCCTGCTCGTCGGGGAGTCTGCTTCTCCCTCTAACCCTCTCCCCTCTCATGCTCTCTCTCACTCTCTTTCTCTCAAATAAATAAATAAAATCTTAAAAAAAAAGAATTACAGGCTTTTTAAGGCCAAAGTTACATTCACAGAACAAGCCAGAAGTTTTGAGTTCCAGATATCTTACAAGACCTCTTTGTTAGCAATAACATTTTCAAGGACATATTAAGAAACCAGAAAATTGTCTTATTCTGTTGCTGAGATTTCTTGTACTGGCAGTTAGGACAGCCTGTGGTTTTCCAGACCAAATGCTGAAATTCCATTATTTAGAAATGAAAGAATTAAAGACAGATCTAGGAAGATTAACACGATGGAAAGGAAAAGGGCAAAATAGAATTATAAACAATTGGAATATTCGCATGGAATGTTATCCATCCTACAGTGTTAACAGCAAAAACTGACAATATCTGAATTTCTGATTTATTATATTGACAATCCATTTGCCTCCAGTCCTTAGTACTGTTGCCATGAAACTTTTTCAAATAATTTCATGAAGTCATTAAAACGTACCTGTTTTTTCCAACAAATATGCTGTGACACCTCTGTCAGGGGAGTTTTGCCTGAATAAAACAAAAAATAAGTCATTCAAACATAAAAGTCACAAATTTTTTCTCTAAGGGACCCAAACTACACAGGAATAATTTGGAGATGTACCCCTCCATGCAAAATCAGGTACAAGTCACATACTATCCAAAAGGTTTATAGAACTAACTGCAAAGTGTTTAGTAAGTATTTGCTGGGGTTTGAGAATTTTTTTCTCCTGCTTACATGCTAACAAATTAGCCTATGACCATTTCCTGGATGCCAGCAGCATGGTAAGCAGTATATTTGTGTGGGTTCCCCCCTACCCAAGTCCCACAGGGGCCATGCAAAGGGACCAACGGGACAAACTGTGTGTTTCATGTACTTTTGCATTACAGCCAAGGAACACTGGCCTTGTGGGAATTCACATCTTTTAGAGCAAGCCTCCTATTTGTTCAGAAGGAGATAATTACTTCATCCTTCAAGGCAGCTCCCTACAAACAAAGCCCTGGGAAAGGGCTCAGGTAAAGAGCAGTCTGGGTCTCATGTTCCAGGCACATGGAAGAACAGGCAGTGTGGCTCTGGGCTGCGACGGACAGCATCTTCCAACAACAGCATGCCCAGAGAGAAAGCAGGCTATCTATCCTTCCACGTGAAGCGGACAATAAGAGGTCCTGCCCAAAGTTTTGCTCCTGGAATATTTTCCTTCACCACCATCTTTCAGGAGCTAGAATGCAACTATTTTTAAGCTGGTGCCAACAAACCGTGCTTAGGTAACCAGGCCTGTGCTTTTTCTCTGTTAACCAATCATAGAGAACTCTCTGGGAAGTCATAAATGTGGGTTAAGGGAGATGTAAATCAGTAAAAGCCAGTACCATGGGAGTTTAAAACATCGCTTCATGCACTTTACTTGTGCCTTCTGACCAGTTTGGACTCAGTCATGTATGTACAGTGTTACCATTTTCTACTGGAATACTGTTGTCACATCCAGTTTTAGTGTTTCCATGGATCAGATGACACTCACTTCCTAATGGTCATTTCAAGCAGCACATCTTACTCTTTCACCTTCCAGATTTCCATTGAGTGAAACTATCCAGAAGCTGGAGGGCAAAGAAAACAATTGATACGGCCCCTTCCCATGGCACAGAGCAGGTAGAGAGGGTGGAGTGAATCTGGAAGGGCAAATGGAAGATATCTAGCCCAGCCCATAAATGGCATTGATGTCACTGGCACGATTTTCTAAAACATTAAGCCATTCTTGGGAAAGTTCCAAACGAAACAGCACGCTCCTTTCAATTTACACAGTAGTTCCGTTCCTGGAAAATTCCAGGATATTAAAACCATGCAAAAAATACTGAGTTATGCTCACTTCAGCAGCAATATACTAAAGTTGAAATTATACAGAGAAGATTAGCGTGGCCCCTGCACTACTGGAATGACAAGCAAATTTGTAAAAAGCATTCCATATTTTCAAAAATAAGTTTTAGAAAGAGAAAAAAGTACATTGAGTTTATATGCAAAATGAAGTCAGGTTTAGGTTCAGATAATTACAAATAAGTTTTTCATACACATGAATGCCTAGGGGGGGTTTGAAAATTACATAAGATGTAGGAAAATTCATCCTTGTAGGAAAGTCACATGCATTGAAGGACATGTGACATTCTTGGCTTCTGCCCAACTAACTAATCCCCAGCCAGGGGGGTTCCCATCAATCACTGCAACAACCATAGTAGCCCCATGTGTTTTCAAAGCATACCCTTGGATGGTACTGCCCCTTGTGATACTCTACTAAGGTGAAACATTCATCCTTGTAGAATTTGAGTTTGATATTTCATCCACTTAGCATCTGGAGGCAACACTCAACAGAAGAAATTACTTCTCAATTTATGGATTCTTGTTCAATCCAACATACAAAAGTCTCTCACCCAGTTACCAAACACTTGCTGCCATTTCTGGCGATGTATACTTGTGAATTTAAATTTTCTGATTTTGTATAAATACAAAGTAAAAAAATAACTGAACATGAAGCTCAAACTTCACATGGAGCCAGATTAAAGTTTATAAATAACCACATTTCATATCTTCTGATACTAAACTATAACTTTTTTTACTTTTAACTAATATATTTTAAGTAATACATCTATATTATATAAAAATACTAAATATAAAATATAAACAAAATATATATAAAATACATAAAAACAAAATATATTTAAAAATATAAACAAAAGTAAAGAATAAAAACATCACTTTCTATAGTAGACAGAATAATGACTCCCCTCAGATATGTCCATGACCTGATTTCCTGGAACCTGTGAATGTTACCTTACATGGCAAAGGGGACTTTGCAGATGTGACTAAGTGAAGGTTCTTGAAATGGGTAGATTATCCTGGATTATCCAAGTGGGCCCAATATAATCACAGGAGTACTTAGGAAAGGGAAACAGGAGGGTCAGAAGACAGAGAGAGTGATGTGACAATAAGAACATATATTGGAGTAATGCAACCAGAGTCAAGGAATTAAGGCAGCCTCAGCTTCAAAAAACGGAAGACACAAGCAATGGATTTTCTCTTAGAACTTCCAAAAGGAACCAACCCTGAAGATGCTTTGATTTTAGTTGCATAAGCCTCTTCCTATTTCTGACCTTCAAAACTGTAAGAGAACAAATTGGTGTTGTTTTAGGGCATTACATTTGTGGTAATTTGTTACAACAACAATAGGAAGCTCATAAACATTCCTGCCCCTGCCCCCACTGAGATATCCACCATTGTTAACACCTTGGTACATGTACTTCGAGATCTTTTCCTATACCGTTATATGTGTCTGTGCATGTGTGTGTATTTCTTACAAAAATGAATTACGGTTGGATCACACGCTATTTTATAACCTGCTTTTTTAAGTCTATAAACCCCATATGTCCATTTCATCAAATCTCTAGACTACATTAAAAATTTCCCAAATGACACAAAATGCCCTTAACAGTTGTTTGGTCCATAACAGGATCTGTTTGAGGACCACACATAGCATCTGATTTTTAGGTCCCTTTTGTTACGATGTTGACTATTAAAGAGACGGTTCTACAGTTGCTTTGAAGAATGTGCCACATTTTGGTTCATTTAGTTTCTACCTCTGGTGCTTTTTAGTTTGTCCTCTTATCCCTGTATTTGCTGTAACATTTTTCCTAAACACTTTTGGCTAGAATTCTCTGTAGGTGATGGGCATTCAGGCCAAATCATATCAGAAAACATGTAATATATGGTTAATCCATTAATGATGTTAAGACTGACCAATGGATTAAGGTGATGATTGCCTAATCATTCCATTTTACAGTTATATTTTTGCCCTGAAACTAGGAAGTGACCATTGTTCTTTTTTTAATTTAATTTAATTTTATTATTATTTTTTTAAGATTTTATTTATTTATTTGACAGATAGAGATCACAAGTAGGCAGAGAGGCAGGCAGAGAGAGAGGGGGAGGCAGGCTCCCTGCTGAGCAGAGAGCCTGATGTGGGGCTCGATCCCAGGACCTTGGGATCATGACCTGAGCCGAAGGCAGAGGCTTAACCCAGTGAGCCACCCAGCCGCCCCCATTGTTCTTTTTGCATTTTAAAAATATCCAGTTCCATGGTGCTTGGCTGGTTCAGTTGGTAGAATATGTGACTTTTGATGTTGGGGATGTGAGTTCAAGTCCTACACTAGGTATAGAGATTACTTAAAAATAAAAGCTGTTTTAAAAAAATCCAGTTCCCATTAACCATTTTAATACCTATAGGTATGGTGTTATGATCATTATAAGTATCACGGTAATTTCATTCAAGATTGTGATACTTTTCAAAATCTATCATCTCTTCTACATTTACTAGTTAGCATTCACCTGTGAAGTAGATCTTTCCTTCATTTGGGGAGATATTTGGTTACATGAAATACAAATTCTACCGGAAAGGCAGGATAAAATGCTTTTTTTTTTTTTTACCATTAATTACCAATTTTCTTTTTTTAAAGATTTGTTTATTTTGACAGAGAGAGACAGCAAGAGAGGGAACATAAACAGTGGGAGTGGGAGAAGGAAAAGCAAGCTTCCCATCGAGCAAGGAGCCCAATACAGGGCTCAATCCCAGGACCCCAGGATCATGACCTGAGCCCAAGGCAGACACTTAACAACTGAGCTACCAAGGTGCCCCATAATTACCAATTTTCATAGTAAGTAGTTGATTCAACAGCTTTCTCAAATGGTGCCTTTTTTAGTCCATCTGTTTGAACTCATTGTCACCATAGTCTTTATAATGCTCTAAATGTCATGACAATGGCCAGTGGAACGTAACCCCAGTAATCTTTAAAAACTTCATTTATTTCTAGCACAACAAAATATCCCTGGCTTTCCTTGTATTTCCCCTGTTCCAGCCTTGGAATAAGCTATTTCTCCAAAAGGCCCAGTTGCACTTTAATGGGGAATGGTTTTCAGAGACCACAACCTGAGCACTCAGGGGCATTCATCATAACTGAGGTGATGCTGCTTTTAGGCCATTTCAATGGATAGAGCTATAAAAATATACATATTGAGGCAGATACGCTCTAGGGTGGCCCCCATGATCCTTACCTCCTGGTGTTCATGTCCCTGTGTGCTCCCCTCCTGAAAGTGGAAGGAATCATGACATGCTTCTAGTCAGTAGTGTATGGCAAAGACAACAGGATGCATATGTATGTATGACTGATGCCAGTCTTAGAAGGAGAGTATCTCCCTTGCTAGCTCTAAGAAGCCAGCTGCCAGGCTGTGAACCACTTACGGAGAGAGCCACTTGAAAAAGGACTAAGGGCAGCCTCTGGCTAAAAGCCAGCAAGAAAATGAGACCCTCAGTCCAGCAGCCTGCAAGGAATGAAAAACTGCCAATAACCACAGCGCTTGGGAACAGAAGCGAGCACAGCCTTGAATGACACATTGATTGAACCTCTGTGAGTCCCTAAAGCAGAGCATTTAGCTAAGCCATGCCCAGACTCCCGACCCACAGAAAATGTGAAATAATAAATGTGTCCTGTATTAAGCCTCTAACTTTGTGGTAATATTATGTAGCAATAGATAACTAATACACTATTTAATCATGGGCATATATGAATTTTTAAATTCAGTTTTAACATTACAGTGTTTTTCTTAATTTCTCAGAATTTTATATTAATAGTCCCATTGAAATAATGGGACTATTGATCCTAGCCCCTGGAGGACTGCACACCAAATGGTGAACAAAAAACTGAAAATGAGGGATCTCTTCTTTCTGTTTTTCCATTCTTCCTCTCTTTGAAGGACAGCATTTATTCATTCATATTTTTTCATTTACAGCCTTGCTCATTTAAGTAAACTAAGTCTAGGAAATCACTTTATAATAATTTTAGCCCTAAAATTCCTTAAATTGTTATTGTGAAGTATAACATTTCCTATTAATATAGTACTGCATGGTTTAAAACTAATTTTTTTTCATGTCAAAGTTTCTCTAATAAATTTTGGAATGGAGTTCAATTAACAGAAGTTTAGACACAATTATCACACAAATTACTTGCTTTTCACTAACTATGCTTATTTCCCTGAACAAGGCACATCTATGCTTTTTAAATGTTTTTTTGAAAAGAATACATGGTTTCCTTCATATTTTTAAGAAACATATGAAATAGAAATTCAAAGTCCAAGCTCTGGACAACCACTTATGGTGAACAAAGATGTCCCTAATTAAAATAACTACTTCCTTCTTTTAATATTTAGTAATGAACATTTATCTAATTTTTTAAATTATATAAATAAATCTATATTTCTATTATTTATGGTAAAAAGTTAAATGTTTTCAAATATCCACAGGGAGTAATGTCATTAATATTGATAAAAGAAAAAAATACTTAGATTCACTTTGAATACCAATCTATTACTTTCAGGTTTAGCACAAGATGTTATAGAACAAATAATTCAGCCAGACAAAAACCATTTCTCAAAAGTACTACTTCCAGTAACAATTTCTCTTTTGAATGAGACTTGACAATAAATATTGTGATGTTTCTTACAATCACCCTGCTCATGAGTCAACAAGTATACTATAATGTTTTTTATAGAAGGCAGCAAGGCTGGCCTTACAGAAGCTTGAGGACAATGGGTAGGTTCTCTTGACCAAAATTATCATATCCACTAAAAAAGAAATTAAATTATTTAATTCAAAGACTTTTCTGGCACAGCTTCACACATTCTTTAAAACTCTGTTCCATGTCATGAAACTCTTTTTTCTAGATTAGTAAAGTATTAAAGAGATTGAAGGAATCTTGAGAAATGGGTCTAGGTTTTATTTCTTTCTCTGTCCTCGGGTCTAGTATAAAACCTGGCATATTAACTCAATTAATGTTAAATAAGTGAATGAGTAATTGGAGGAAGGAAGGAAAGGGTGTGAAGGATCCAGTGAGATGGCCTTAGTGCCTTTAAGTTACTGTGAAATATAT